TATGAAATCACGACGTAAAGCCTGTATTTTTGTAAGAAGGGACCATACCCCTATTAACCCATTTTTTTTTTTGTTTATTCTGCAACCGCTGTTTCATACCTTCCGACTCCAACGAGTGTTACGCACGATCATGCGTGTGCATTACAATTGTTGAATGGTTATTTGTTTTGTATTGTATCAATGCATATGCATATCAAATTTCATTAAAATCGGTCCAGTAGTTCTAGAGATAATCGACCAGGGCTGCAAATTCTCTTGCTTTCTTAGAGTCTGCAAATTCTCTTAATTCTGTCCTGAGAAACATACATAATTTTTTTTCCCCTTCGTGTATTTTGGTCTATATTAATTTACTCTTCATTGGATGTCTAATTGATTAACTGCCTCTCCGTTTTTAAAATGTTAGGATGTTTAGTTACCACAAAAATAACCGTGATTTTATTTATATTTATTCAGTGATTAGTTTGTAATAATTAAAAAAAAAATGTGAAACATTTTAGTAAGGACATTCAACTGTTTAGCTTTAGTGTTGTTTTTAAATAATATTAAGTGCTGTTAATATATTTTATCAGATATATAAATATAAGAAAAATCAAAAAACAGATTGAAGTCAAAATATTGTTTTAAAATGTTAGGATGTTTTGTTAGAACAAAAATAACCGTGATTTTATTTATATTTATTCAGTGATTAGTTTGTAATAATTAAATAAAAAAAATTAAAACATTTTAGTGAGAAAAATCAACTGTTTAGCTTTAGTGTTGTTTTTAAATAATATTAAGTGATGTTAATATATTTTATCAGATATATAAATATAAGAAAAATCAAAAACCAGATTTAAGTAAAAAAAAATCCGAATAAAATAAAACAAATCCATTTCTTTTTTTCTTTTTTTTTAAATAATGAACATTGCCAATTCCGCTTGTATTAATGCTACATGCACATTTCATTTTATTTTTCTCATTGGAAAAATATTCAAGTGATTGAATGCTAGTTTTCTTGGACAGCAAAATTTTATTTGAAATTCTGTTAGTCTCCGATTGGAGAAAACGATAAAAAATGACGTCAGATCCAAAACGTTGAAAAATAATGAAATGATTAAACCTGAGTTGGAATAACAACATCTACGTGGGGGATCCTGGCCGCGATGCGATTTGGGGCCCGGTGCTGCTTTGTGAAACTTTTGGGTTTAGGCACTTATACTGCACACATTCTCTCCCAACACGTGCGCCCGGCAGTGCTCCATGACTAGGGACCCAAAACAATGGAAGGGGCGTCCCCTTATCCATGAACTGCTGGGGCTCAAATTTCCCCATTAAATCCCCTTTTACAAATCTCCCTTAAAGTCCAAATGACTCACTCTATATGTGTTAACAGGAAGATTGAGATATTTATACTGTTTCAAATGCTTACAAAATAGGAAATAACATCTTTATAGTTAAACTTACATATAAATTTTAAAGCAAGAAATTCTTTAGAGCATTTTTTTTTTTATACTAAAATAAAACTTTTTACATTTACTAGTTAATATATTTCAATATTTTCCAAATTACATTAATTAAAAGTTTTTATTAATATTTTTTATTAAAAGTAAAATTTTTTTTAAAGGTTATGTGTATGAGCATTAGTTTTGTTTACATCTTTTTGGAACGGTGATACAAAATTGAGTGAAGTATCTTGTATGCTTTTATTAAGTCATTTAAAATTTGACTTTATCGATATTATACACGGAATATTTTGTATAACGTCGGAAATGTTTTTGAAATTTTCAGAGACGTTTTTATTCATTTTACCTTTGTATGAATATGTTATTAACATAACATTGAACAAATTATTTAATTTTTTTTTTTTGGACCCATAAACGTAAATTTATGTTTAATTAATAATGAAAAAAATAAAAATAATTAGCGTGAATGCTGATAAACCTTGCATTTTAAAGTATTCTTTAAAAAAAAAAGCCTTTACATTTGAAACAAAATTTAACTTACATTCATTAGCATTATGTAGTTTTTTTTTCTTTTTCTGAGCGGTTTTGGATAAAGGGAGTTTAAAAAAAAATTCTAAATTCACATTTGTTGGCTATTGTGTCTTAAATTTATTTTGCCAAATAATTTTTCTTTTAATCGTAAACGAATTAAATGCTAATTATCTTACCCTCCCGCTTTCATGTTTTATTTATTTATTTATTTTTTAATTTATTGCAGTTGAAAATATTTGACATTTTAGATTTATTAAAAGGGAAGAAATGGTTTCTAGTAAAGATTCATAAAATATTTTTTCGCCAAAATGTTCAATGAAATTATTTTCACTTTATTACATTTGTTTTTAGAAATTTGAAGACTTAAATATCTTTTGTATGATTTTTTTAGGTTTTAAATTAATTAGATCAAAAATAATTTAAAGCACATTTTTATACCAAAAATAATCTAGCAACTTTTAATTTATTTCTTATAATTTTTTTAAGTGCTAGGTGCGATCTCTATTTTTCAAAAACTTAATCGTTTTCTTCTGGCGATTATTGGCGTTTTTCTCTCTTGTTCCGTTCGCCGTGCGTCAGCTTCAGCCTGAATCAAAAAATAAAACAGCCACGCTTTCTTGGCGTTGAAGTCGGATACCATCAGTAATGTTTACACGTTTTTCTTCATGTATTTCTTCATGGATGAAGGAATTTTTATCTTGATGTTCCCGCTGTCTATCGATGTTCGTCAGGTGAGGATGAGGGAGCAAATCTTGTTCTATATAATTCTGTTCCAAGAAAATAATCTTCGTGGTTGTGAGAATCCCTTTACGTTGCAAATTTGTTAGGTCTTAAAATTATAAGTGATGCTCCAACTTGGGGTCGCACTATCATCCCCATGGTGAGTTTCTGCCTATTTTTTTTTTTTTTTAATTTTAGTGTCCCATTTTGTAATTTTAGTTATGTTATTTTATAGTTCTAAAAAGAATTTCCATTCTTTTTTAGCATTAATTAGTGGTTATGACAGATTCAAAATAAAATGGAAAGAAGAAAATTTTGTTTGCAAAAAAAAAAGAAAGAAAAAAAAACTAGTATATTTAAAATTTTATTTTTTAAGGAACTAGCTGAACAATTTCGTTCAAGTTTTGAATTTTGCCATATCAGAGGTCTGTCCAAACCAAATTTACTACCGTTTAGCGGTACTCTCACAAATTCAACTTTGGGAAAAAACTTTCATAAAATACTTTTTCTTAAAATTTTATTTTTGTGTTTCGTAAGAAACGATAGATCCATATTTTAACCATATTTTTGTGTTGATTTTTTAACATAATTTTTAATTTTCACAAGTTATGTCTAAATTTTCACAAAATGGGTACCTCTCAGAAAAACCTAGACAGACCCCTGCATATGTTACAGGTCAATTGTAAGGTGTACAAATTTGACCTGTTTGTGTATTGTACATTGTNAGTTCTAAAAAGAATTTCTATTCTTTTTTAGTATTAATTAGTGGTTATGACAGATTCGAAATAAAATGGAAGGAAGAAAATTTTGTTTGCAAAAAAAAAAAGAAAAAAGAAAAACATATTTAAAATTTTATTTTTTAAGGAACTAGCTGACCAATTTCGTTCAAGTTTTGAATTTTGCCATGTCAGGGGTCTGTCCAAGCCAAATTTACTACCGTTTAGCGGTACCCTCACAAATTCAACTTTGGGAAAAAAATACTTTTTCTTAAAATTTTATTTTTGTGTCTCGTAAGAAACGATAGATCCATATTTTAACCATATTTTTGTGTTCATTTTTTAATCTAATTTTTAATTTTCACAAGTTATTTCTAAATTTTCACTAAATTCTCTCAGAAAAACCTAGACAGACCCCTGCATATAGAATTACATTCTTTAAAATAATGTAAAAATTTGTACACATAACAATACAAGATTTTTACGATTATTACTGAATAAAATAATTAAAAATATGTAAATAATTATTGAAAATTATTTTTTGTATGGAATTATTTTTGACTAAACATATTTTGTAATTGCGTTCGAAAACTTTTCAATTCGCTTAAAAAATTCTCCAGCTGTAATGAAACTCGCAGGAAGTAAAATTTGCATTGTGTCCAAACCTTCAACCGCTCTCCTGACCAAATTATTGTGACCACATTTCCCAGTTAACGGTTACTCCCAGTATTTTGAGGGTCATGAATCCAAATCTATAGATGATAGGCATGTTTATTCAAAGAAAGTTCGTTTTTGTGTCTAATTTCGTAACTTAAAATATCGTCTGCTATAATTAATCAGCATGTTTGGGACAACTCCTTGAACCATTTAGATTGAGCCCTAGTACATGAAGATGTGATTATTAGATCAAAAGTTATTTTGGGTGTTCCTTTTCTTCGCTCTGTATTATCATTTAAAATATATTTCAATAAAATAAATTTGTACTAAATAAGTAGTTTTATTCTTTCTGTCTTAAATTGTCCAAAACTTGATATTGTTGTGTAGTTTTATTTGAACAATGTTAAATAATTAAGAAAATGGCAGAAAAATATAACAGTTAAAAAAAACTACTAATTAAATTGTAATTTTTGACTGGAAATCTCAGCTTTGAATTACAGTTAAGAAATTAATGAAATATCTGCTTTTCTATACCCAAATGTATTAGGCCTTTTAAATACGTAATCTTAAAGTCATTAAAGTTTCTGAAACATTTCTATATTAATTATTGCAAAATACTTGACTAGAATTGAAAAATATTTAATAAAAAATACTAAATTAAAATCATATAGTATTAGTTATATTAATATTTATATGCAATTTGGGCTTTAAAAAAACAGGTGAAGTTTTTTACTGTTTAATAATAATTTCAGAATTATAGGTAATGAATAAGTCTAATTTATCCTGCCCTACAGCTCAATTCATTACTCTAACCCTTTTTTAAATTTATTTTTATTTTTCTCAATGTGATTTTTATTTATTATTGACATTTTACCTGGCTAAATGGTTTTATGTTATTGATGATTTTATTGATGTAAATTATCATGAATTTCAGTGGCCAGTAGCGGAGCATGTCCAGGAGAGCTTTCGTTGGATCAAGTGGCACCTACAACGTGCGCGCCTCAGAACTAGCTCGCGAGAAACGAGTCAAAACTATACGTTGCACAGTATTCTTTCTAGACGATTCTCAACAGACTTTTGAAATCGATGTAATTATGCAGCTTAATGTAATTTTTTTGTGGTTTGTCATGTTTAACCTGTTATTGATGCAAATTTCCTTGTTTTGTTTTTCTTTTTGCTGCAGAAACGTAGCAAGGGTCAAATTTTGCTGGATATGGTTTTTCAGCATTTAGAATTAATAGAAAAAGATTATTTTGGACTTCAGTTTTCAGAGCTTGACCATTCATCTAACACTATGGTAATATATATTTAAATAATATATTTTTATGTTAGTAATACATTTTGTAAAAAAAAAAATTCTTTTACAGGTAGTTCATAAATGATGTCAGATTTTTCTTCTTCAATATTTTCCAATCTCTTACCCGTTGTCAAAAAATGTCACGTGTCACATTATAATACATAAACATGTTCCAGCAGTTCAGAAATAAAACACATGCTATGAATCACATTTAATTTTTTTTTAAACTTTAACTATCTGACCTAATTTTATTTGTGGGCTTAATAATAACAATTAGATTAGTACAAATTTTAACGAGAAAAAAATCACATAAAAATAGTTTCAGATGCTTTTATTTTAACCCAAACAAATGTTGTCACACCCCTTCCTGTCCCTTGTCTAATCGAAATTTTATTAGTTAGTGTCGAAAGGTGAAAAGACAAATCTGTAATATATCCTAAATTCAGAAAATCAATTGCAATTGCTCTAAGATATCCAATAACTACTGTGTGGCAATCATGCAATGAGCTGTTAGTGAGGCTCATTCATTTTGTGAAGTAGGTGTAAGGTGGCTGCAAAACCATCTGTCAAGGGTTCAACCTAGGTTCAAGGAGACCACCAAACCTAAGTACTTTCTTCATATTAAATAAAACGGTCAGTCAGATACTATAGCGGCCACTACTAACTAGTTTTGTACTGAAGGCCGATTTGATGATTGCTAGTTAGTACAGCTGTTTAAATTTAAGAACTAAAAGTAAATAATGTTTAAAAATTGAGCTTTACTTGGAAATAAGCATTTAGATAACCATTCTCTATTGTTTTATCGAGAACCTCGTTTCATACCACAAGTGACATTCTGACATACTGCAAAATTGTGAAAACACAGAAAAAAGGGATGAAAATTTAAATTTTGTAAATTTTATTTTTTTTGTGTGTTTTTTTAAAAACCTTAGTATGGTTTGAAAATTAAGAATAATAAGAATAAATTAATTTTATTAATTGAAAAATAAAGAAATTGAAGTATTTTTATTTTATTTTTTATTGTAGCAATAATTTAGGAATGTTTATTTCGCATACTGTGTCTTGTGGTAGATAATATAGATAATAGACATTATAAATTGTAAATTATATAGTAAATATTAGTAGTAAAGTAACAAATGTAGCTGTTTTGAAGTTTATTCCTATAATTTAAATTTCCGTCTTAAAAAATTAATAAGGGAAAATTATTAAGAGTTCTGAAAATTTTAAGTGATATATTTTTAAAACAAAATAAAGTTGAAAATTGAGAAATAAGTATGCCTTGAGTATGTTTCTTGGCATAACTCTCGTATAAAAAAGATTGCATGAATTGAGTTCTAATGTTGAACTTTTTGCCTTAAAAAGTTTTTTTTGTCAAAGAGAAATGGGAAGGAGAAAAAATAGACTACCTGGAGCTCTTTTTTTTGTTAGGAAAAAAAAATGTTCTTGAAACAAAAATCTTTTAATATCATTATTGTATGTTTTTTATTATTAATTTTTTACCTAATTATTGTTTAATACTTATTTTTGTAATTTTTATTTATTTACTTTTATAGAGGTGGATGGATGCTAACAAACTTATTAGGAAACAAATTAAATGTAAGTAAATAAATATTGTAACTTTTTAGTTAATTTCTAAGTTATTTTATATTAAAAATTAAATAAAGTAATTTTTCATGGTGTCTGTACTCTAAAATAGCAATGTTTATGCATATGATACATGCTAATAGAAATGACAAATTTAAAAATCATTAATCTGAATGTTGAAGAACAACATAAATTTTTTAGTTTTCCACAAAAGTTTGTGTAACATTTGATTTTAAACCAGTTATTTTCCCCCTGTTTCTTATACTAGTTTTATAATCTAAAATTATATAAATATTTTCAATTGATTCTAAGCATTTTGTGTTGTAATTTTTTAATATTTTTCTTTTTTATTTAATAATTTTCTAATTGTTTTTTTATGTATTTGCTTTTTTCAGCTGGACCTCCTTATTTATTATACTTTAGAGTGAAATTCTATGTCTGTGATCCAAGCAAGCTTCATGAAGAGTATACAAGGTATATAATCATATGTTTCTCTTTGATCATATGTTTCTCCATTGATTTTTTATTTATTTATTTTTATGATGAAATAAAAATTTCTCTTGAACTTTTGATAATTGCAGTTTTTTTAATGTCTAAAACACTTTACCAAGTAATTGAAAATACCATATACATATAAATTTTTTATTAATGAATTCTATTTTTTAATGGGCTTTTTTTTCTTAAAAAAATAAAATATGATCTATTTTTTAAGACAGGGATGAGATTTTTCCTCTTTTTTCACTTCTATCTCTTGAATTTCAGTTTTTTTTTAATCAAAAATTCAGAGTTTTCTAAAAATTTCACTTTTTTTTATAAGTATTCCACTTTTTCAGAAAATTCACCGATTTTTAAAAAGAAACAGAAAATTCAAACTACATAGCTATCAATTCTTTCTCATTTTTACTTATTATAGCTATTTTCTCCCATTTTACTTGCAGCAGATAGGATTTTCCGAATTTCTTACCCGCCCTCCAGATAGATCCGATTTTTGTAGTTCAAATGATGCTGCTTCTGACAAGCCTTTTGGAGGTCCCAAGCATGGAATCTGCTAATATCTCGATTCTTATTCACACGATTTTTATATCAAACATAGCTTTTCATATTTGCGTGTTGCGATTCTTATTCACGCGATTTGAATATTGTACGTTGCGATTCTTATTTACGAGATTTAAAAATCCGATATTGTGATTCGTATTTACGCCTTTTTAAAAACCTATGTAGCGATTCGTATTCACGCAAGTTTAAAATTCAATGTCTTGATTTGCTCATGCGGTTTATAATATCAAACATTGATTTTCGTATTTATACGTGATTTTAAAATAAGGCATTGGGATTCGCATTCACGCATTCTAAAAGTTATGCATCATAATTCTTATTTATGCAATCTAAAAATTACGCATCATGATTCGTATTTACGCGATCTAAAAATTATGAATCGTGATTTGTATTTACGCGTTTTAAAAATTCTATATCCCAGTTTGTATTTTCTCATTTTCAAAATCGTATATCTAGTTTCATATTCATGTGATTTCAAAATCCATAATTGTTATTCATATTCACGCAATTTTAAGATCAACTATCGCGATTCTTGTAAGAAGTAAATTTTTTTTAAAATTAGTTACTATAAAGGTGACTGTTTTTCTAACGACGATTATTAGTATATGTAAGTGTTACAACATCAGAGAAACTGGAAGGGAATATATTCAAAACTTACATTCTGTGCTTGCAAAGAAGAAAAAATAGGATTTGTCACAAGATGTTTGAAGATGGACTAACGACTAAATATAGCAAACATAAAAGATATAGCAAACAAAAGCAATCACTTAAAAAGGGATTTAATTCAAATTTTTTTTTTTTGGAAAAAGAGTTAATTAACTCATCATCAAAATTTTATTTATAATTGCTGTTATTTATGCTATAAAATGCAAAATTCTTATCAAATAAAAAACAATTATCTAAACAGTTGCTGATTGTCATGTAATTTTTCAAACTAAAATAGCAATTTTTGTATGTTAAGGAGTTACTATATATTTCTACTTCACTGTTATTGATATGTTTCAGAGGGCTCTAGTTAGATTAGACTATAATATGAACATAATGATTCGGTCCATTGTTAAATTTTTTTTTCCCAATATAATTTAAAAAGTAATATTACTGATATATTTGCTATAAATCACATAACAGTATTTATTAAAAGAAATGAAATATTAATGTATATTCTCAGTAGTTTTAATTTGCTAAACCAGGTAGTTTTTCAAGTAATAATTGTCTCTTATGTGAACTGAGGAAAAATATAATTTCCAGCTTTATTTTTTCAATTGGTAATTTTTATTTTCACTAAATGTTAAGTATCAATGTAATCATTTATATAATAATAGATTAGTACACAATTGTATGTCAACACATTATTTATTACCTTAAACTGTCTGGAATTTATTATTAAAGGGTTGCGCTTGCGTAAAATTTACTATCGTGGAAATTCAGCTTTTTTGCCTTTTGGCTAATCTCATCCCTGTTAAGAGAATAAAACTAAAATAATACAAATAAACATTAATAGTTATTTTCTTGAACTTATAACTAAAATGCATTGTTAAAGATAATTGAATGTATTTCCTGAAGAATTAGTTTTTTTTATAAGTGTAAGCATGATATTTTAATTAATCAGTTCCACAAATATAGCTACAAAATATTGTTTGATATATTTGTGTAAATAAAATAATATGTATTTGCTAATCCAATTCCTTTTTATTAGTGCTTATGATTCCTTATAAATCAAACATTTCATAAATAAATGAGAGAAAAAATTATCACTCAGTTAAATGCTTAATTACTTAACTGTGCAGAATGTTTGGCAGTCTGAATAATTTGATATTTTGCAAGAAATTCTATATACTGAATTGTCAGTGTATTCCTTATTCAAATATAACTTTCTAGAGTTTTTAATTTTTATGATTTAGTTTTTAAATACTTTTTATTGGTAAATAAATTATTCTAATATTATTATATATTCTATAAGTTTTGTTGTTAAAACTTATACTTTATCAAATAATAAACCTTGTTTTAAGTATCTTGCAATATGCATTACATTACATTGCAAATAAAGATTTGCTTATTTTAATTAAGTAATTTTTTTATTATACATTTGTTGCTGAAATATTTCTGGTGCAATGATTTTTAAAAATAAATTTTCTAAACAAATTAAGTAAAAACTATATTTTGAATCTTTAAAAAGAATTGAAAAATAAATAAATAAAATAAGTGTTTTGATGTAATCTGTAACATTCTTATGTAAACCTCTCATTTCTGTTAAACAAATACTTAATCAATAGTTAAAAAATAAGTTTACCAGCAAAACATTTCAAATATAATTTCTAATAATATTCAATTTTAAGTTATTAAATTAAAAATTCTGTTTTACATTAATTCTTTTAGAAGTCAGTTTTCTTAATTCTGATTTTCTAGCATTACTAGTACAAGTTATTTAAAAACTTATTTTATAATATACTGTGCACCCTTTACCTTATATTATTTTAATCTTGTGTAAAAAATGCTTGTAAGAAACAAATGTATTAACTGGAATTAATGTATCCAATTTAGGTATCACTTCTTTCTTCAGTTGAAGAAGGATATTGTTGATGGTAAACTAATAGTTCCTTCTGCTACAGCTGTGTTATTAGCTAGTTATGCTGTTCAGTGTAAGTTAACAAAACACTTTCTCTCTATATAATTTTCTGTTTTTGCACCTTATGACAATTGACATATTTTTATGCTGTATTTTGTTATTCATTGTTCTTATTATCATACATCTGTTTTCTCATATAATTACTCTATATGAGTCGATCATATATGTACACTATGTGAATAGACATGTGTATGATAATATGAATACAGTAATTTAACAGTAATATATACGAGACATATATATTACTGTAGTGTAATATGTTGGTATGATATTTGGCATTATATTTAACAATGCAGTAATTAGCAAATGTTACTTACAGAAGAAAAAATGCACTTTGCAATGCCATGATTGATTTTTTGCTTCCAATTTCAGCTTGATCATTGTTCCAACATCTTGACTGTTATTTGTAGATCATTATCTTTTTATTGTGGATTTTTTTTAATATTGTCAATCACTTGATTATTTACTAACACACTACACACCAGAATGTTAACTTCTGTGTGTGTTGTAAAAGTGTTATTTGTAGATTCTCAAAATTTCAATTACAAAATCATTTTCCCAAAATCAGCTTCATCACTAAATATGATTTACTTTTTATAAACTGTAAGATTTTTATGTGTTGTTTGCTGTTACTTTCAATAATAATTTATTATACAGTCGGACCTCGATTTAAGGTCACCCTAAGAGACATCGCAAAAGTGATCTTATAAGCGTGGTGACCTTTTAACCGATTCATTAGCAGCTCGTAACTAAGCACGTAAATAGTACACATTATGAATTTTTTAAAAATGGTGATACAAACGAAAACGATTTTCCATAAATTAAATATTTAAGTCAATAAAATTTAACAGAATTGGTAAAGAATTAAAGAAAGTTAGATTTAAAAATTTTTTTTTCATTTAAAATAAAGCTGTTTACAAATTTCCTCAATTTACCTTATTTAAAATAATTATTTTTGCAGATCTGTCTCGTTTTTGGTTTCATTTTTCGAACAATGTTTTCTAGATTTTGTAACTTCTCAAAATATTCCTCAACTCCCTCATGGTTTGTAAAAAAATTTTTTACGACATTTATTGCATTGAAGGCTTCCACTTGGGTTACAGCTACAGTCTTAGGATCACTGTCATTGTCCTCACTGTCCACAACTTGTGAAACAATTTCAGAAATTGTAGCTTGTTCGTTGGCTGCAACATTTTCCTAGGACTCAAGAGGGGTAATTGCCTTGTAAGGAAGTTAAATAGGCTTTTGTTAGAAAAGAGCTGCCCTCGCCTCAGATAAAAATGACCTTATAGGCGATTACGATTTTTAAACTTGACCATATATCCGATAATCTGCTACAAAGAATTCCTGTTCAGTGAGCCGGGATATTGGAAAAGTGACCTTATATGCGGGGTGACCTTATATCGAGGTCTGACTGTATTTCTGAATGTAGTTGTTTTGAAATGATAAATACTGTACATCCCATTGTATAAGTCAATCTTTCAAAAATCCAAAATTTTCCGAAAATCAAGGGGTTGACTAATACACTGATAACAGAGTCTGATTTTCTTTGATCAAGAAATATCTATTCGTTATAAGCAACGAGATGAATATAAATAACTCTGTTGCAATTTAATATGATTAAATTAATTTTGCATTTTCTCTTGCCATATTTTCTTTCCATATTAAGGTTTTTTTTAGAAACAATATTTGAAATTATGTTTAGGAAAAAAATAAAGAATAAGAAAAGTTAAGATAATTTATTCAAGAGAATTTCAAAAATTATAACACAATAAAAACTTTTAAAACATTCCATACAGATACAAACTTAAAGATTCCAGAACATCATCGATGTTTGATTCAATAATATTAGCATACAGTCTCGCCATACAAATACTTCTCTCAATGGATTCTACTGCATCCTCATCTGTTGAGTCCTACAAAAAGTAGTCTTCACTCTCATGCAAAAATTGAAAATTCTAAACTTTTTAAAAAATTTTACAATAACATATGAAACCACATTTTGCCAAGCCTCTAGTATAATTTCACGTCTATAGGAAAATAATCAACCTATTGATAGTGATCAAATTATGCATCTGATTTAACAGAAACTTACAATTTTATAACCAAAAAAATAGGAGGTCAACTTATAGGCCAAGATGTACAGTAGTTGTTGTTATTGTATCAATTTTCATATAATAAGCAGTATATGTTGGATATTGTATAAATTTTATAATATATGAATAATAATATAAAATATATGTAAAATATATGAATATATGTAAAATATATGAATGTATAATATAAAATATATGTTTTAATTGAATTGATTCAGCTGAAATTGGTGATTTCAATCCTGAAGAGCACAAGAATGGTTATCTGTCAGAATTGCGTTTGATGGCAAATCAGACAGAAGAAATAGAGAAAAAGATTGCTGAACTTCATAAACTGCATAAGTAAGTAGTTTGTTTTTTTGTATGAAGTGTTAATTGTTTTCTTTTAATACACTTTCATTTTCAGGCTGTAAAAGATTACAAGGGAATTAATTTTAATTTCTTTTCATTTGCCTCTGTATTTACATTATGTCTAAATTTATGCAATAAATATAAAAACTTGTTTTATAGAGATAATTTAATGCGTTTAAAAATCTCAAATATTTTATGTGTGACTCAATTACTCAGCAGATAGAGAGTTCACCTTCCAATGAGGTGAACTGGGTTTGAATCTGACGGTTGCTGGTCAATACCAATTCCGCATCCAGCTTGCACCGACCACAGTGCTGACGTGAAATATCCTCAGTGGTAGGTGGAAGGTGGATCATGGGTTAGAGTCCTCTTGCTGTCAGGCTAACAGTGGGAGGTTCTTGTAGTCTTCCTCTTCATGTAACGCAAATGCGGGTTAGTTCCATCCATCAAAAAGTCCTTCACAAAAGCAAATTTCTCCCAATGCTTGATCCAGCAGTTCCCTTGTCTTCTGGATTGGGTTCAAAATTGCGAGGATACATAGTTGAACATTTGTAGTCGTAAACCCAAAAATTGGGTCGGCTGTTCAACGACGGTTATAAAATATATACAAATAAAATATTTGATGTGTAAAAGTTCTTTGTTTTTTGAGAGAAGGAAATCAAAACATCTTACTTTTTGTGAATTACTTGCATAAAAAACTAGTTGAAAAATAAATTTCATTTCTTTTTTACTAGATTAAATACTTGTTAACATAAAAAATATTTAACAAGGCTGTTAAGTATTACAGTTTTTCCATGTAATTTTTAGAGTAAAAATTAACTTTCATCAATTATTTAGTCTCTATTTTATAACAGATTTATCTATTCACTATTTCCATAAATTATTTATCATTGTTAAATCCAATCAATCAATTGTTAAATCAAAATATATTTAGAAAAATAATAATCAATTATGATTTTTTGTATAATCCAAATTGATGATTTTCTTCAAATGAATGATTGCTGAAAGATATTTATTTACAATTAAATGTATTAATTTTGTATTTTTCAAAATTTTTGTTTACATTTACTTTCACATTTACACATTTAACATTAAAATTTTTATTTTCAGAGGTCAGACGCCAGCAGATGCTGAGTATAATTTTTTAGATCACGCTAAACGACTTGACATGTATGGTGTTGACCTACACAAGGCAAGGGTAAGGGTAAGCAGAATTCCACATTCTGTCTAGTTTGAATATCAATCATGTTTTTCACACCTTTCACTGAATCATTTTTATTCATATCATTTTAATATTTGTAGTTTCATTATTTTAAAGAGAATGTACTAGTCCGAATTCATGCACGAAGAGAATTCATGCACAAAATAATTTTGATAGAGAACACAAGTGTTTTAGTTCGAAATTATATTGATTTATAAAAGTGAATAGTACAGTAGAGAACTGATAATCCGGAACGATCGGGACCATCGCGATTCCGGATAACTGATTTTTCCGGTTTTTTGAATCGCTACAAAATGCCGTTTTTTTAATGTTTATAAAACGAAACTAAGAAATTATTTTGAAATAGTTTTAGAAATAATAAAAAATTATAAATAATAATACACTTAAGTTTAAATAAGGAAAGAAATTATGAAATAAAAATTATATACAGGCTTATATATGTTATTATTAACATTAATAACATTTATAAGCTATTTGTGCTTATGTGAGATTCGTCTACAAACGGCTTTTGATCCGTCCTCTAAATCAGTTCTTTTGTCAACTCGATACGCCGTACGCTCTAAATGAAAAAATGGGCTCAAAATCTTGCAGGAAAAAAACATTTTTTTAATGGAAGAAAATTTATTTCCGGTTCCGAATTTCATTCCGGTTATCTGGTTTTCCAATTTCCGGATAAGAGGTTCTGCACTGTATTTATGATTTGAGACAACTAATGAATATCTGCATCTTTAGAAGACACTTCACCTAAATGTCTCAGATATAGGAAGGTATTTGCTTACTAGAGAGTTTTGGGGTAATGACTTTAGTCTTCTGTTATGTTCTCTCTGAAATTTTCTGATGTTGTTCACTGGTCTATACTGCCATTCAAGATAGATAAAAAAAGTATACAATAAAGGGGTACATACAAAACAGTGTAATAGATTTTTTGCTGTAACATACACACTCTTTTTGCCTAAATTTTCAATGACCGTTTTGCATAATTTTTTTTAATATTTTCAGGGATGAGATCCTTCCGCGGATTCGCGGATTTCCGCTTTTTTCCAGATTTTTCCATTTTTCCCTCTAATTTCCGCTGAAATTTTTTTTGCCCAAGTTAAAATGTTTTATGAAGAATTTAATTTTCCGCGGAGGGNTGAATACAGTTTCATCCTTCAAAGCAAAGTGATCATGTGCTTGTTGGCATAAATCTTAAAATTCGAAAAGTAAAAACTGATAAAATGTATGATCCCAGTGGCTGATTCTGTTTACTTGACCAAAAAATGACACAGCATTGCTCACCAATGAAAATACATTCTTTCGTGTAGTGCTCCATTTTAAATAATGTTTTAACTGTCAGCTCTCTTCTTCTCTATTTTTTTTGTCCAATTTGACGTTTCTTTACTATAAATGGTACAAAATTCCGATTTGCCAGAATTTTGACTGCTTTTGTTACGGATAATTGTGGAAAGAGGATTTAGTATGTACTCTTTATTGTAGACAGTTTAATTGAAATTTATACATTACGTAAGAAGAAAACAGTATTGCAATCATCTTCATCAAAATATTTCCTGCATCTATATAATATAAGAAATACCCCCAAAAAGGTTGAGCTGACAATGAAGGGAGTTGTTTAATAATTTTCCTTTTGAACATCAAGATTTGCTTTCATTTATTTGGTAATTTAAATCATTACTGATTCATTTTAATTTCAGACTTAATACACATCAAAAAATAAAAATGTTTTCTATTAAAATAGCTCTATGAATAACATTTAAAAATACAGGTCGAACTTCAATATCTCAAACTTGAAGGGAGAGAAGGAAAAGTTTGAAATACCGTAAACTCAAGTTATCAAAAATTACATGTTATCAAGAGTAGAATAGAAAGAAAAAAATTTATATACTTTTTTAAAAAGTTTTCTAATTTTTATTTATCTAAACACTTAACAAAAAATTATTATTTAAAAAACGATTTCAAGATTCAAACCTTTTTCTACCTCATAAATAATTTGCTTCTTTACTTCAATTCTAAGTGTATTCAATTTTCGTTAGTTAGCCATTTTAAATAGATGACTCGCAAGAGATATAACTTTCTCAAAATCTTAAAATGATCTAAAGAGGATTTCTAATTTTGCTCAAAGGGAGGTGGTACAGCTATGAATTCATGTGCTGTATCTCTCAACTCTTGTTGCACTATTTAGGATGATAGGAAATTAAGCCACCCAAGATGAATCCCTTTTAAGGAACATTCAGTCAATCAATTCAGAGCCACCTACCTCATTCCTGTCCCTGTTCTTGAATTATTAGTGAAAAGTCTGTGCATCTGAAAACTGATAAGGAAACAATAAACAAGAGTTTTTAATTTCCCATTTTGGGGATAAATAAAAATTTAGTTTTCACTGTGCTGTTTCATAAAGAGGACTATAGGAAAATATATCATTGCATCCCTTTATTTTTTTATGTAGGATTTTCCTTGTAAACTTTTGAATAGCTCTTTTTTTTAAACAAAAAAAAATCTGTTTTAATGGGAAAAAATATTTATTATTATTATTTTTATTTTTGTATCAGTTGAAAAAAATTCAAGTTATCAAGGGTAAAAAGAATTTGTAAAATCAAATTTTTTTTTAACATGGAATAGGTAGGAAATTAAAGAGATTTTTTTTTCCCCATCTAGTTATCTCAAAAATTTATGAAACCAAGTTTTGAGCTAGCAAGGTTTGACTGCATTTTGTTTGTTTAACTCTTTATTATATTTTAGTGTGACAGTTCGTTTTCCTTTTTAATGAAAAATATTAATAGAATTAACTTTACATAAATATTACTAGTCATTAAATACATTGTTGTATTAGATTTAGTTTTAATTTTTGCTGTAGGTACTTTTCAAACTTCAAACTTTTTAATAAGTTATTGGTAAATATTATTAATATTTATGAGTCCACCAAAAGGCATAAAATTATCATTTTCTTTTTAGGACACAACTAATGCTGATATACAGTTAGGAGTTACATCTTCAGGTCTTGTTGTCTTCCAAAATAATTTAAAAATCAACACTTTCTCTTGGTAAACACTTATAAATTGGTTAAAATACTTTCTCCAAACATCAATTTTAAAAGAACACTTGTAACTATGATTTATATTTTTAGGGCAAAAATTGTTAAGATATCATTTAAAAGGAAACAATTCTTTATTCAATTGAGAAGAGAAGGAGTAAGTTTCTTATTACTTTTATTTACTTTGTAATTTTTATAAATTTTTCACTTGGCATTCTGGTTAATTCAAAAATTTACAATGCAATTTTTTAATTTTAGACTGAAACATACGACAGTTTACTAGGTTTCAATATGCTGAGTTACCGATCCTGTAAAAATCTGTGGAAATCTTGCGTTGAACACCATACATTCTTTCGTTTACATGTTCCTCGAGCTCCCACCAAAAGGTTATTATTTAGTTTAGGTTCAAAATTTAGGTATAGGTAAGTTTAAGTTTATTTCTTTTGATTTTTTACATTAATTTTTAGTTACTTATCATTTTCAATTTAATATTTTGTATTGGTATTCTCTAATTTCTGTGGAATTGAATTTTACACTGGCAGTGTTTTCAACCTTATTTTCTTTTTGTTACATTTGTTTTGTTAAGATATTGTATTAGCTGTTGTATCTACTGTAGTGCTAAAGGAATCTACTGTATTTCTTGTAGTATCTCATACCTGCCAACTTAAACACTATTTCAAAAAAATTTTTCCTAGTGGTAATGAAATAACTATTGAAGTGGTAATGTCGGCAAATACTTAGCTCAGTTTTATCATTACTTAAAACATGATAAGATAATGAACAAGTCTTCATTATATATCCTTAAACTATTCAAATATAATGGTAGTTAAAGTTATAGTAAATCAAATTTGTTAAAACTAGAATCAAGTATGAATGCCAAAACTTTATTACCACATTAAATATCAAAGTAAAATTTTCTGGAAAATCCAAAAGCGTTAACTGTTATGGTATCTACTTTTCTAAATGATTAGACTCTTACTTACTATGTTTATTTTCTATTGATTTATTTTTGTATTTCATAACTTTATATTAAACTGACTATTAGAAATTGATATCCCAGACATGGTTGTTAAATTTTCTCACTATTATTGCAATAAAATGGCATTTGAGTATTATACAGTGAATTCGTGATAACTCGAATCTGATAGGACTGACGAAAAACTTCGACATATCGGAAGTTCGACTTACCGTTAGTTTCGGTTTTGGACTTTCAAAATATTGTCGGATTATTTAATTAATGCTTATTTATTAATTACAAATCTTCTAAATGTTTACAATATTTAAGATCATTTTATGATACCCTAGTCCATCGACTGCAACTTTGCTGTTGTGTTTGGCGGGAGAAACTGCAAGTTTACTGCTTTCAAATGAGGTAGATCACTATGCGTTGTGCATTTATCCATAAAGAGTATCACTTTTCTTTTTTTAGCGAAGAATTTCCGATCCAATTTTCTTAAATAGTCTTCAAATAAAACTGATGTCATCCAAAACTTTTTGTTAGACTTGTAATCCAAAGGATACGTTTTTACATTCTTGAAACATCGGGGATTTCGGTATTTTCCGATAACAACTAAGGGCAATTTCTCTGTCCCAGACGCATTTCCTCCAACTAGGACAGTCAAACGTTCCTTGCTCATTTTACCCCCTGAGCAGTTTTCATCCTTAAACATCATAGTCTTATTTGGAAGACATTTAAAAAATAAACCCATTTCATCAATATTGAAAACATCATTTTAACTGTATCCTTGAAGTAAATTTGGTAACGTTTCATTTAACCACTGTTCACATACTTCAAGAGGGACAGCTTTAGCTTCTCCATGAAGAGTGCGAAAGACATTGTGTGTGTGTTGCAAAGGAAGGGGCAAAATATCAGCTCCTAGGTTTTTTTTTCTTGCTTTAAAAGATCAAAAAAAAAAATCGAGTTAAAGAGAGTAAAGTTCGAGTAATCGAGAATAATTAACATGAAATTGAAGATAAAAGGGTCGGGACCGCATAAAAAAATCGAGTTATAGTAATATTCGAGTTATCGTACTTCGAGTTACAGCAAATTGACTGTATCATCACATTCTATATATCTATCTGCCATATATCTTATATATATGCTGAGTATTATATCATTCAGGGGAAAAGAAGATTCTTGCTATAAATTTTGGTCTGCAATCTTCTTCACTGAATAAACAGGTTTATTTGTAATAAAAATACTTAAGCATTGTTTAGTTTTACCTGAAAGTGCATAGCCAGTGCAGTAAAAAATATGTAGATTTATTATTTATTTAAATTTGATAATAAATTAAAAGGGGTTGCACATGTATTGAAACTTAGTTTTGTGAAATGATTGAAGAATAAACACTTTGGTGCTCTTTGAGCAATTGTGTGTTCAAGTATGAATTAAAATTTTTTGAGTTATTTGAATTAAGATTAATTAAGATTTTTTGGAAATTGATTTATAATCTAGGAGTTTGTGGATTGTTTTTTGCTGACAAACTCTACAAATGTGCACAAACTTTTTATAAAAATTTATTGAAAGGAGTTTTTAGCTGTTAATGTTAAGTTCTTGGTATTAATAACCATATGCTGTATCATTAAAATTTATGATTACAAATCTAACTTTGTGCCTCAAAAGATCGTATGTGGTTCAAAGAACTGCATGTGGCAAAAATTTAAGTTTTTAGAAATTTCTCACATTATGTTTCAGTAGGTAGTTTGGTTTATGTTTTAAATTTCTAATTACACTGACAAACAAATTAGATATAGATTTTTCCACTTCACATTTTGTCACTTTGTTTAGGGAATATAAATCTATAACTAAAATATTTTTCACTCTCCAATTTTGAGAAATTTAGCTGTGAACTATACTAAAACTAGTTTTTTAACAGTTTTAAATATTTTTTCTAACAGTAAAGGCAAAAGCATTTTGATAATTTTTTTAGTGCATTAAAAAATAGCTTATTTTATTAACTGACTTCAAAATTCAAATTTTTACTACATTGATTTTACTTTTTATGCATGCATGCATGAAGTTATCGTACACTTTTGCTCATTGTGTATAATCATATATTAATATTATAGAAGGTAGTTGTAGTACTTTATTTACATCACACTAGAGCTGTGCAATGGGTTGTTAGTGACAGTCTGGGAAACATCCCTGAGGATGATCCAAATAGATTTGATCCTCTGCAGAGGAGGTGGTTTCCCCACTTCGGTAGCCCACCTACATGCACACAAAGGCACTCACTTTATGGCAGAACAATCTAATGAGGACCTATATCATGTAGCCTCTGTCATTTCATGACTGAGTCAGTCAGCGAGAGGGTCATCCACCCTCTCGCTGACAGCAGCCTATAATGCTTGACTTTGGTGATCTACTGGGAACCATGTCTTACGATTGTCAGCCCACTGAGGGACTTATTTTAGAAAGAAAATTCATACTGTATTATACATTTCTCAATTCTTAACATGTATTGGGGCTACTTTTTTTTTACTTCATACTAATCTATATTACGATATCACCTAGCTTAAAGCAATTAATTGCTAAATTGTTATAAATTCATTTGATTACAAGGCTAATTTTTGATGTAGTCATATTTATAATTTTGCTCATAATTTTATTTGCAGTTTATTGTAAAATGTGGAATTAAGATTTGATATATTGTTATTGTGTTGAATCCAAAGAAATTAAGTTTGACTTTTATATGTTAGATGTTCTTTTTAGTCATTTTAAATTCATTTTGTAAATCATTAATTTTTTTTATTCCTACTAAATCTTACCAAACTAAAGGATCAAAACATTTTGGATGTGGATTCCAATTCCTTGCTTAAAAATTTATTAGTATCATCTTCTAGAAATGAAATAGTTTTTCCAATCTGATTTTTTGATAGAAAGTGTAGTTGTTTCATAGTTGAATTATCCTAATGATTGTGCCTTTCTGAAATAACCACTGAAAAGTTAGAAAATGTCATACTTGAAATAGGGAAATTTTTAATGTGTGATCAAACTATCATTTTAAAGTTTAATGCCAAGAAAATAAAAAAGAGTATATGACAAAAACTGCTACATTTTACTGTTAATGTTTTCTAAGGCTGGTTGGTTTAAATATAATGGTTACAAAGATATTTGAAATTTATCATATGTGTCGATTCCACAATAACATTTCTGTTTTGATAATAAATTGTTGCCTCTATTGCTATTTATTCTTATTTTCTTTTGTAACGCATTCATTGAATCCAACCTTTATTTTCTTGTAAAAGCTAACTGTGGAATTTTTTTCATTATAGTATCACCTTTCTTTTAATTAAATACATTTGTTTAATGATGAAAATATGTTTTTTGTAGACTTTTATTAAAAATATATTATTAATTTTGCACTCCAAGAAATCTATTGATGGGAAAAGATCTTTCAACTTGAGATTTTCCGAGCAGAGCTTAATGATTTCCCTTGTTATTATATTGAGGAACTGTGCCTAAATGAAAGAAAAAACAATTTTAGAAATTTGATTTCAGAAAGTCCTAAAAATATAAAAGCTCAAAATCGCCCTTTTTGTAATTAAATTAGTATAGCAGCATTACTTTTAAACCTACAATTAGTCTATCAATTTTAGGCTATACTTTGTTGCAAGTTAAGAAAAAACCATTACGCTTATGGAGAGAGCCTTTTTGCATCTAAATGTGTACCAAATAGATGCTAAGCTCCCAGTGTGAACGTATGTCAACATCGCCATCTCTTGAAACCACGTTGCATAGCCGTTTTTTTTTTTTTTTTGCTTCCTCTCTTAAATGATGTGAAATGTTTTGTTTATAAGAATTAACAAATATGATATAAAAATTCGTAACAAATATATGTCTTTCTGTTAGCATTTAAGGAAGCTGATGAAAGAGTAATAAATATTGTTTTTTGCAGATGATTTTCTGCTATAGCAAAACAAAAGTTAAAAAATTCTTTCTCTCATTTGATTTGTTAAGGGCATGGCAGCATAAGACGGGCCATTTTTAAAGGTCTACTCAAATCCAATGCGCTTGCAATGTTATATAGTTGTTTCCTTTTCAAGAATGAATGTTCTTATTTATTGAAATATCTCGCCAAGTCTAGGATTCCACTTAAAGTATGAAACTATAACCCTTTTTTAAAAATTACATGATATGTAATGTAAAAGATAACACGAATAAAATTTCTGTCCAGCGAGTTGAAATTTTAAAGGCTTTCATATTGTATTGAAAGCATATCTATATAGTTTGATAACTAAGTAAAATGCAGTCGCAGATGAGTACTTAAATCCTATACCGCAATGGTATTTTCTTAACTGCATCGAAGTATTCCAATTATTATTTAGCTTAACACTTCTTGCAACAAAAGTTATAGTTTCTATTGAACTTAAAAATTTGTGCTTTTTATTTTAGTGGAAGAACTGAATATCAAACCCTTGAAGATGGTAAACATAAGGCTAGAACAGAACGTGTTTTTACCAGGTACACAACATGAATTCTTTCCCACTGTATATTCTACCATTCCCATTATGCTCTTTTATTTTGATTATTTTAAAAAATATATTATTTTTTTTTAACTCAGGTCCCCAACTAAACGATTTGCCAGACAGACAATACCTCAGGTGACAAGAGAGGTGCTTGATGGATGGGAAAAGAAGATTACAAAACCCATAGCCAGAATTAATGGCACATCCAATGCACATATCCGCCCATATGACAGCTTTAGTCATAAAATACAGGTGTCTGAACCTGAATACAAGCCAAGAAAAGCTTGGGCTGAGACACCAAGGTAATTCAGTTTTTTTTTTTTTTTACTTTAACAGCAACTAGATGACTTAAACTTACAAAAATTTTATCATTTAATGTTTTAGTACACAAAATGTGAAGTTCAACAGCTGTTCATTCTTTTTTTTTATCAGCTGTTTTACCTTAGTGACTAATAATCTAATAGAACTACATTAGCATGTAAAAGTCTTAGGTCAACCTGTGAATTTCACTGATGAACAAATTTTTTTTTGTTGTATTTACACAAATACTTGATCTTGCCTGATTCAAGATTGTTGATTTAAAATCTGAAATTAATTTTGCTCTTTAAGCTACGGATTTAAATGGCAATTTCTGTCTATTTTTTTTATCGAAATGTACAAAAATGTTAGGTACAACAGTGTCAATGTCTTCATAAATCCAAATAGTTTGACTTTTGTTGAGAAGAAACAAATTGCCAATTGTTAGAATAGAATTGCAAGATTAAGGAAAACATAATATAAATTCAATTTAGTGTTTTAACTTATTACCAGAAAGACGATGTTTGTTTAATTTCTCTTTTATGATTAACTTATTACTTGAATTTTAAACAATGTATGCCTAAAAGCAGTTAAATTTGTTTAATTAATACCATTGAACCCTTATTTAATGAACTTCTTTTTGCCAAACTTCAATTTACAAATTTCGTGTTTAAAATAAAGATGAGATTGTGACTTTTTGATGAAATTATTATTATTTTTTAACAAAATCTTTTTCTAGCAATTTCACATCTATAGATAATTTATGAAGATACGAACGAAAAAAAAAATTCCTTTGCTTATTTGTATATGAATCCTCTGGTTTTTAAAAGTCCTAAGTCCAATTTTTAAAAAGTTGTGTTTTTTTCATGCCGATTTCTCAATTGTGCTTAAGTCTCAAGACTGTTATAATTTGTTCTGTAAAAATTAATATAAAAAAATTGCTAACGAGAAAAATTATACCATTATTTGATGAAAATGTAGAAAAAATTATATGTCAACTGTTTTGATTCTCTATATTTTGTAAAACATTCTTCTGGCCAAGCTATTAAAAATACAGTTGAAAAATGCTTCCAAAAAATTGCAGTACACAAGTGGAATGAAAATAAAGCATTCAAAATTTTCCTTGTTTTAAGCCACTGGATTAAAAGTATTCACTTTCTAGATGTGCATAAATTTGTAAATTTCATATTTTGTCTGCTCCATTAACTGAGTGCATAAAATGTTTATTTTTTTTTGTTTTGTCCTCAAATTTTATGATTATAAGTGTTTTTTAAGTTTTAGAAATATTTCTTAATAATTATTTTCTCCCATTTAGTCCAGAAATCACTGCCTTTACTCCATCAATTCCGCCCAAATTGCTGAATTACGTAGATGATGATAATGTGACTGATGATTTATATGAAATGTCATCGTACATGTCAGAGACAGTTGTGGTGAGTAGTAATCTTTTATTGATTATTTTGTTGTATCTACAATGCAAATTTTTCGTAAAATTAAAAAAAATTAGCATTCAGTATATGGTCAAAATTTCAACCTCCTTACCATAGTAAACCTTACCATAAAAATTGCTTCAGAATTTATTATGCATTTTTTATAGCTGATCAGCAATTTTATTTTTGATATTTTAATTATTTTGATGTGTTAGAAAGCTTCGAACAAAATAAGTTTTGATTTTTTCTCGTGTATTTCTTCACTTAAGTTCAAAATAATATTCTATTACCTAACACTTCTTTCGAGCTGCAATGGTGCAGTGGTAAAGGCATTGAGCTGCCATTGTAAAGAACTGGGTTCAACCTTTGATGCCTTTTGAAAAACTAAGATGCCTGGGAAGTAAGTGCCAGTATGTTTCCAGTGTGCAATACTGACCACATTGCCACCATGATGCTGGTGGTCACAAAATAGTAGAATTTTTACCTCTAGGACCCTCTAATTTAAATGAGTTGTTGCAGAAATATTGTTACTATTTTTCCCTTTCTCTATCTATTTTTCTTCTGTTGACTGTTCAAGAAATATTAGGGAGGATTTTAGTGAGGTTTCTTTAAAACATATTTAAATATATTTAATTAAAAATATAAACTTAGTATTAAATGAATTGTATCAATAAACTGTAGTGGTATGGTATTACTTATTTAAAAACTTTATTGGTTTCAAAAATATACACATGGCACACCTGGAAAGTCATGAAAATTCATGGAAAGTCATGAATTTCAGTATTGAACAAAATTTGTCCAGAAATGTCATGATTTTTATTTTTTTTTTTAAAAAAATCATGGAAGGTCATGGATTTATGTCGCCGAAAAATCAAATTTTTAAAATGGAATCCCCTCCCCCCTCAATTTCATCATGTTCCAAATATCTGAATTCCTAACAAAATCACTACTCACTGTCATATTTTATTAGAATATAAAATGTCTTTATCATCTTTTTTAAGAATTATGGTGTTCTTTCAAAAAATGAAAGAAAAAACATCATTTTGAGAGCGAATTATCTTTTAAACTTCTGTGATTTAAGAATTTTTATTATTTATTAATTTTTTTATCAATTTAAATTTCAAGCTGAAGCAAGCCAATCATTGGCAAATTTTTTTTATTTCGAAATGAGAACAGACAAATAAGGAGTATTTCTTTCCTTTCTGATGAACAAGAAAAGTATCTTTAAAATATAATTCTGCAGAAAAAAAAGAAAGAAAAAAAATTTGCTTTGTATTTTTTTTCTAGCTATTTTATTGCTTCAACTAATTCTTTACTCCGTTTTTTAAATTTAAAATCTATAAATATGAAGATGCAGAGTATAACAGTGGTTATAAAAATCATTTCAATGAATGTTATTATAATGCTTTTTTGAATTTATTGTTATGTTTTTGTCGGAGAAAATAGTAACTTCTTTAAGTCATGAAAAATTCTTGGAGTTAGTCATGGAAAATCATGAAGTCATGAATTTGAAAATCTAAAATGTAGCAGATACCCTGTATGCAGATAGAAGTAAAAGTGACATGCTTTAAGCATTCAAAAATATGCTCAGTGTTTTGTGTCAGTTTTTAGGCTTTTGCCATTCGTCAGTTTTGAGTCACTTGTAACCTGTTAACTTTTTTTTTCCATCTGCATAATTTTGAAGCTTATGAAGTTTCTTAATAATAAACTTAGTATGTTAGATTGTTTCATAAAAGTAAATAAGTTCTAACTTAAAAAAAAAGTAGATTTTAATTTGTGAGATTTTTTTAAGTGTTCCAAATTTTTTCTTTGAGAAAAATTTGTGTTTATCAAGTTTTTGAAAATAGTATTACCTATCAGTAACTAGCTTTGCAAACTTTTTAGTAAATCAAATATTGTGTTAGACTATTTAAAAAAAAAAAACCTTTAAAAATTTTATATCTGATTGATGATGAAATTTTGATAAATAATTATTCAAGTTAATATTATTACATATTTATTCTTCATATTCTTAGAAAACATTGAGAATAAACTTATAGAAAGAGATATTGTGAAAATGTATGTCTACAAAAAGAAATGGAAAGAGTAGAATTAATTTTATAATAAGCAAATTGAAAATCAGTTAAGTCTTAAACTGCCATAACCACGCTCATATGCTCTTCATAATTTTTAAACAGCTTGATCAATTTCAATTTATGTTTTCAGAAACAGTCTGTAAATTTCCACAAATATTCAATGTGTCATCATAATATAAAGTAATGGAATAATGCTTGAAATAAATTTGAGAGAAATGATTATTTAGGAATCAAGATTAGTTAGATACTTTAAAGTTGTGTTGCAGATACTTTTTTGATTTCTACTTACTACCTACATAAGACGTAACTATAGATCTTTAATTTCAGTTAAATGTTACTAGACTGTGTTAAGCTGTTTACTGCCTTTTTTTGCCAGAAAACCCTTAACTGAATCAAAAGACTGTGTTTTGATCATTTTTCTAGATTTAAGTTTGGAAATTCATTTATTATTTTCTCTAAAAGTATAGGGAGAATAAAATTTCTTCTACATAGGTGACACATATTTTTTTTTAAGTATTATTATCATGCTGAATTGAATGAGGCTAGTCTTAAGACAATCGGACTAATAGTTTAGAAGTTATAAGTCTTTTATGTAATGAAAGTACAAATTTGTACTTGCACCAATTTACACATCTGATATTGCTACCTAAACAAGTGAGACATTGTTAGTATGCATTTTTTCATCCTCAATTGAATGAGACAAGACACAAGTCAACCGAACAAATAGTTCAAAAGTTACAAGAGTTTTTATATTTAAAAGTACTACTTTAGTTATGTACACTTTATATTGCTAACCAGGATGCTATCCAGGAACTATCAGAACATGTGGGGTATATTTTCCATGTAATTAGAAGACTGTAGTTTAGAAGACTATCTGTAGAATAGACTATCTCATTAATAGTTTAGAAGGTATAAGCGTTTTATTTACAAAAAGTATAATTTTGTTCTTGCACTTATTTACACATCGTACATTGCTATACAGACAATTAAGGTATTTTCTGTCTCATTTTTTAATCTCATTTGATCAAATAAGATCAAACATAAATCAATGGAGTTAAAAAAAGTTTTTAAAACTAGTACCATTTTTGAATTGCACTTTTTGTGAAGAAAACTCTTATAACTTCTAAATTATTAGTGCGATTGTATCGAAATTAATCTCATGTAAATGTGTCATGTAACAGTGTAAAAAATTACATTGGAAAATGCATCTTACATATTCAGATAGTTCTGGGATAGCAATGAAATGTGAATACCTAAGTACGTGTAAAAAATAGCACGTTTTATACATAAAAACGCGATTCGATTGATTTGTCTACAGACTCATTCGATTTAGCGTGAAAATCATATAGAAATGATGTATCACTTATTTAAGTAGCAATATTTACGTAAATAGAGACAAGTACAAATTTTTAATTCTCATTCATAAAATCCTTGTAACTTCTAAACTATTAGACGTCGAACGTCTAACCTAAAAGCGTTTCGAGAATGGTTTCATTTTATTCTGAGTGAAAAAATACATCGGAAAATATGTCTCTCATGCTTGTCTAGAAGAAATTCTTCTCTTCCTCAAATCACCCTCATTTCCATTAAGAAGAAAGAAGGAGTCTTAGTGGTTAAGGGGATAGAGGACTCGCCTCCCAATGAGGTGCCCTATGTTCGAATCCCAGCATTAGCTGGGCGAAGCGATGGATTCTGCTCCTTACCCATATCGACCGCAGTGCTGACATAAAATATCCTCAATGGTAGACGAATCATGAGTTAGAATCCCCTTTCCTTTGTGCTAACCATGAGAGATTTTTGTGGTTTTTCTCACCATGTAACGCAAATGCAAGTTAGTTCCTGCAAAAAGTCCTCCAAGAAGCCTAGTTTGTCCCAATGCTTGATCACAGAAGTGCCCTTGTCTTCTGGATTGGGCTCTAAATTACGAGGCTACGGTGCTAAACATTCTTAGTCGTAAATCCACAATTGAGTCGGCTGTTCAACGCTGGTTATAAAATAAAATACAAGGGGGAAGCACACAGAGGAGAGTTAGGAAGTTTTTAGGCATAATTTATAATAATGTAAAAAAGCTTTCAGTCAAAAACCATTTGGGTTTTAATCACGATTTTTTTTGAAGATTTAATCCTTACGATAAAGTTATAATTTGAACTTAAGATTAATTTAAATCTTGGATTTTTGTAGTTCCAGTGCGCAAAATAAAAAAGAAGCTTATTAACTTTTGATCTGATGGTGGATTATCATGTAATAAGATGCAATTTCAATGGTTTGAAGGGATAACCTTAAATATACTAGTTAATTAGAACAATGTTTTAATTTATAGATAAAAACCTACTTTCTGTAAGTAACCATACATTTTTTACTGTGGATTCAGATTCTTGAATTTCAAAATGAAAGGGAATAAGAAATCTGTAAAATATGGTTAAAATAGTTAAGTCTAGAGAGCAGTCAAAATTTTGCTTTTTGCGTATTCGCTATATGTAAGGAACTTATAAGGATGAATTTTTTAAAAAAAATGTACTCTCTTAAAAAAAATGTACTCTCTTAAAACTTATTTACTTGAAAAATAACTTCTGGCAAAATATAATTCGTTAAAATCATTTCTCAATTTTTAATAATGATTAAATAAATTTGAATAGTCAGTCATGCTAATTTTTACATCATCCTTTTTTTTAGACAGATTTTATTAAATGCTCTATTCATGCAAAAAATAATTTGTAATAATTATTTTTATTTAAGCTAATATAGTCGAAATATTTTAAATTGCAATGTATTTTTATATTTATTTCAAACCATGTAATTTTAAATAACTTTTGATTTAAAGGACCTACTTTTTTTAAAAATATAATTATTCGACTATTTGATGGATTTCGCACAAACTTTTCTTTTTGTAACCATTATGTTAAATTACTTAGTATAAAATGATGTAAA